TTATTTATTTAATATTTAATCACATTTACATTTTGGTTTTACCTGATGATTGAAATAGGTTGTGAGCCACTGTGAAATGCATCAGCATTGCCTTTTTTATTTGCGATGTGATTTTGAGATATGTATGTATGTAAGCATGTATGTATGTTGTGTAGCACTCACACAAATAAACACTAATTGATGATGTGTATACACTGTAATACTGTCATACTGTTCTACTGTTATAATTTTGCAACGTTCATTGCTATGCCTCGCTCTCCGTGTGACATTGTTGGTGTAGTTAATACAGTTTGCTTGGCTGCTATTTATAAATATTTTTGTATGGCACGCACACAGATACATGTGTATGTATTTATATATATGTGTATGTTGAGCTGCACACACACACAGGAGTCGAAACTGTTAATTTTTTGTTTTTTGTTGGCTATCTTCTTTTGCTCATTCAATCTTTGCAGTGTATTTTACGAATCCCTTTTGCCCTGCATTTCTCTTGCAAACTCTGGCCACGTTTGCGGTTTCCTTCTGCGGAGTGCTTCATCGCCTTCTGGCGGCAGCTCGTACTGCTCGTTCTCGAACTGCGCGAGCTTCTGCAGCCGCCAGCTCATGCGCTCCTCCAGCTCCTCGTGGCTCAGCGTTGTGCTGCGACTCGTCGAGGGCCTTGCATAGCACTCAGACATGTCTGGAGCGGATTCAATCGACAGATCCTCGCTTGGTCGTGGACTACTGATCGATGGATGATGGCCGTCGGATATGCTTGCAGGATGCACCTCGTCGCTCAACTGACTGGGCTCCTCAGGCAAATGCTCCTCTGTATCCTCTATCGACTGTCGATGGCTTTGCTCGCTGTCAGATATGTTTGCAGGATATCCAAGATGCACATCGTCGCTCGACTGTGGAGTATTGAGCAGTAAGTCGTCTGCGGACTTGTATTGATAGAGTTTCGCAGACAAATGCTCCTCAGATTCCTCCCTCGACTGTAGATCATTTTGCCCAGCATCGCCTGCATCCGTTTGTCGAAAGAACTCTTCAAAGAAATCTTCGCCTGGCTGCTGCTCCATCGTAGCATCGCCTCCGCCCATCTCTTGCTTGCTCTGCCCTGGCGAATCCTCGCTTGGCTGCTCTTTAGCCAATCCATCGCCGTCACCCAACTCCCGCTCGTGTGGCTTAGACTGCTGCTCCATCTGCAGATCCTCTCCGCCGGCTATAGCGCCAGCCGTCCTCAACAGGGAGTTGACCACATCCTGCTCCACCATCTTCGACACGATATTTATCTTCATCTGCTCCCTCTCCTTCTGTTTCAGCATGTTGACCACGTGCGACGCCGTCTTGCACTGAATCAGACTAGAAATGCGATCTACCATTTTGTTGATGAACTCAATATCTAGCATATTTCTATAAATTTCTAGAAATATAATAAATGTTCTCTATATGCTTGTGCCTGTGCTTATTTCGTTTGTTTAATGCCAATAAATATGCTTTCGTTGCGCCTCCTGCTCAGTTCTCTAAGGCTACTATGTTTCCCTATAAAATTCCATTAACTTCTCGAGCTCTCTGCTCTCCACATCATAAAAGTATATCTCAATCTAATAGATAATCTAATCTATTATAAATTCAATTCCAAGTATCTGCCACTCGTCAGCTAACGGCTTGATATATTTTCTAATTGCAAGCCAAATTAACTAAATTACTCAATAAGCAGTTCATCGGCTTGCGCATTGGAGTCTGTGTTAGAGCCAACGGCTTCAGCTGCTCCACCTGCTTCAACAGCTCTCGAAATGCCAAGGTTCGTTTTTCCATTTTTTCTTCTTTTTGTCGTATTGGCCAACCGTGAGCAATTTACAGTTAAAGCTAACTAACTGAAAAATATCAAAAGTTAAGCAAACAAACTTTGTCTGGACTTGGAGTCGCTGTTGCAGATGGAGCTGCAGTTGCTGCTCGGAGCTGCTGGTCCAAGGGGTGCGGGGAGGTGTTTGGCACCTGGTTAATGCTTTGCTAGCTGTTTGTTTGCTTTTTGGCTTTTTGGGCTCGTTTCTGTCGCATAGACAGGCCTCTCTCTCTCTCTCTGTGTCTCTGTCTCCCTCTGTCGCTTGCTGTGTCTTGGTTTTAGTTGGGCAATGGGCAACACACCTAGATTTCGTAGAAGACAAAATATATATGTATATATATATAAATTTGGGTGCGTTAGTCAAACACTGATAAAATCATAAGCCAAAGATGAGAGACAGCACACACCAAGGCACACACACTCACATATATTCGGCTCGTACGTGTCTCTTTTGGGCCAGACATTAGGACAAAGCCGTCTCAACTATATTAGGCCAATTATGTTGCACAAAGACAACAAGTGAGAACAGTGCAAACGGGTGTGATTGACTGTCTAATACTCGCATTCAATATAGAAAATAATGAAATCAATTAAATATGGATCAAACTTTATACACTATATCTGTAGAGGAAATTAATAATGTATTACTTGAAGCTACATAGCTGTACCAGAAAGAAGAGTATGTATAGTTTTCAGTGAGATATAGAAATGATCCGATCTCTGATTATTATGATCCATATATAATATTGTATATCATATATTTATTCATTATATTTTATTATATCTTAGACATATAGAGAATATAAATCAGATTTTATAAACTTGAAGTTATTATTAAGAGTTTTTATTGAGATATATTGATAATCAATCAAATCTTGAAGTCGTAACTTTTAGTAAGATTAATAGACTGGAAAATATAGATTTTGCATCTTTTTCTAAATTTCCCAATCTGATATAAGAAAAGTGCATGTATTTCTTATGCGGAATCTAAGCATCAAATGCCTCTCAAAAAACTCTAAAATGGAGTACTCTAACCCCTACCCACATGCACTCAACAAATCTTCCACTCAATCAAATCAAGGAAAGACGGTTGAGAGTACGCTCTAGACACTACACTAAAACCAATATACCTTTTTTACCTGCGCGTTGCGTAGTATACGGAAAACACATTTACATGTACTGTCAGCTGCCACGCCCACCAGCCCCTGCCATCGCCGTGGCCCTCGCCCATAGACCATATCGCGATGCATGGCCCCGTTGAAACGTGCAACCGCATAAACGTGAACGCATTCAACCCGACAAGAGCTGAGCCCAGTTTCCTAGGGTGTTGCTGCCTCTGCTTCACCTTAGTTTTCCCTTACCTTGCGCTCTTTGTCATTATTATCGCACACTTTTCTATGCGTATCTACCTTCGTGTATTATCTATTCTCTAACATCGTATTTTGCTTCTTTCCTTTGAGTTTAGTTTTCTTTACAATTTTCTGTCGTCTCGACGTAATTAATTTCGAGCATTTGAATTCGAGATATTTGGCGATAGCAACGTCTATAATGAATTTTCCGTATCCCTTGACACGTACAGCACACCTGTCAATGGGTCCTCAGACGAGAGGATCTAGATGCCGTTGTCTTCTTTTATGGGTCAATGAGCTCGACTTGTTGATAATTAGGCTTAGCATATGGACAGGTAACACGGCCCAACTAATCCCTCAGGTGCTTGCATATAATCAGATATTCATATCGGAATACCTTAAGAATAGTTTGAAAATATTTACACGATGCGTGTGTTTGTGCGTTGAGTGATTGAGCAATTGAGTGAGAGATGATTGATGGCACAGTTCAAAGTGTGAAGCAAGAGATAATTGAGACTCTGCAGTAGCTCTTTTCTATAGAGCCGAGGCAAGTCTGATAAATATTCAATCTTACAATCAGGAATGAATAATGAAGTGAGACTTTATGATAAAAAATAAAATAATAATATAATTTAAATATGGAAACCTTATATTCCAAGTGCTTTAAATTCACATTTTATTCGCATTGAATGAACCTTATTTAATAGACCTATTTAATCAATATTTTTCTAGAATTCCGCATTTATTCAGCTTAGCATTTGGTAATTTCAATTTTTTTCTCAGCTTTCTACCCTGTTCTATAGAATTGATAAATGCGTGCTATAAACCGGGCTGAAATGCTTGAAATTTATCAAGACTTGAGGTGGAGGAGGCTAGCG